AGGTGGACATTATGTGTAGGTCAGAGATAAGGTGGACATTATGTGTAGGTCAGTGATAAGGTGGGCAGTATGTGTAGGTTAGTAGTAAAGTGGACATGTGTAGGTCAGAGATGAGGTCAGTATATATACATGTGATGCTATGGCATGCTATGATTGTAATTTACTATTTTTTGGATTAGTCTTGGTCAAATTTTCAAAATTTAGTCACTGTCAGAATATATGATAGAAATATTTTAAATATTACATGGCAGTATTTCTTGTATGGAAGAGTCATAATTTAACAAATTTTTACAGATATCATGACAATGAATTTGCAGAAGAAGTTCAAGTTGATTTTGTTGTGTCTGAAGTATATGGCAAGACTAACTTTGACTACAAATTAAATGCTGTTACTGTAAGTAAAAAGTAGCTGTTTTTAAAAAATTAACACTGCATGAACAAACAAATATAAATGATTCCTTTGAAAGATAAGTGTTTTTTTCATAGAAACACAGAGTATGTTTGACTAGACTGCATTTATTTACATTGCATAGTAACTCTCCAATCAAAGGAAAAATCTCCACAGCACATAGTGATCTGAATTGTGCATGCCTAGCCCAACGTATCCTGGTATCTTACATGTATAAACATGTGTTCACAATCAAAATAGCCAAAAAAATGTGAAATATAATTATGGTTTACAGGGGCACTGGTATATTGTATACATTGTAAATGTTTAATCTTTATTTGCAGGCTGGTTGTTTGACTGTCCCACAAAATTGGTCTCTTATGAAAACTTCATGGACAAGAGAGGTAAACTATCTACTGTGTATCAAATAGTATACCATGAGCCTAGTATTAATGACATTGACACAAAAGGAATTGAAATTTTGCAGCTACTGTGACTTTGTTTTTGATTTTGTACCATCAACTATTTTATTACAGAATTACAAGAAATGCTACCACCTTGAGGAACCGACTAAATCCAATGTTGTGTCTTCACTTGAATATCAAATATTGAATAGTAGTAATGGAAACTCACTCAAGTGGTATGAAAATGACTACTATGTCTACACATTGACTGTTGTAGATCCAGATTACAGGTAAGTGTATGAAAATGACTACTATGTCCACACATTGACTGTTGTAGATCCAGATTACAGGTAAGTTTATGAAAATAACAACTATGTCTACACATTGACTGTTGTAGATCCAGATTACAGGTAAGTAATATGAGAATGACTACTATATCTACACATTGACTGTTGTAGATCCAGATTACAGGTAAGTGTATGAAAATGACTACTATGTCTACACATTGACTGTTGTAGATCCAGATTACAGGTAAGTGTATGAAAATGACTACTATGTCTACACATTGACTGTTGTAGATCCAGATTACAGGTAAGTAATATGAGAATGACTACTATGTCTACACATTGACTGTTGTAGATCCAGATTACAGGTAAGTGTATGAAAATGACTACTATGTCCACACTATGAAGTCAGTTTAAGAGCAATACTAATGACCTGAGATATTCATCATACCAGTATTTTCAGCATTTTACTTTATTTCAATAACATCGAATCATTTATTCTTGCTTTCAGTTTCTGTCATCTTAGCACAACATTTGTTGTGCGTGTTCATGGAGTATTAGAAGAGTATGAACTGGCAAGAATAGTGACAATACCTCTTACATGTACAGTAGCTGTTATTTTCGTCCTTCTCACATATATCATCATACGGAAAACTTCATATTACAGAAAGCAAGAAGAGAAATCTGAAAATAATTATAACTAAGCAACACTATAGGCCATTACAATATGGTGTACGTCATATGTTTACATTTTGCCACCCAGCATACGAATGTCTGTAACAAATTTCGCCAAGTAATCATCATTCACAACATTGCTTGTAAATTGTTTTATTACTAGAGACACATGCATGCATATTTCATAACAATAACAGCAGACAATGCCATTATTTTTCTTTTGGATGAGAATGACCGGTCTTTGCCAACCAGTTACTGTGCCGGGTGACGTGTGATTGCCTATAATACATTATATTGCGTATTTCCTGAAATTAACTCTTAAACTTAAATAAACAACGTATCAAGGGGTAGTATTTACGATTTGTGATGTACAAGAACATTTGAACACTCGACTAGAACACTTTAGTATTTAAGGTCATTGACTTTGTTTTCTGGACATTTAATTGCTGATAGGTATGCTTGGTAAATTTTGTCATATTTTGTATTCTGTGGAAAAAGAATGTATAGCTGAATAACTATATCTGCTTTGTTAAAAGTGCATCTCTTGTATGCTGGATCACTGAAATGTGACTCAATATTTTGACCATTGGCAGCAACAAAACATTTATTCTGTTATATCAACGGCAATCAGAACCATGCATGAATGACAATGTGTTAATCTTGCAGGGGAAGAAGCTCAAATTTGTATTTGACTTGCCATACTTAGTTTAGTAAAAAAAAACTTACATTTGTTTTATACATTTTGTAGTTAGTTTTATAAATAAATTGATTTGAAACCATATTTGCCATGTTTTACTGCACAAGTTAATCTTGCATTGAGTAACATGCTCTAGCTATATTATTTCATTCTGTTACAAAGTAATAGGGCATTTGGGCTGAACGATTTACAGGTAAGAATTCTTCAGCAGTGTCAGTTGCATTGACAAAACACCAGAAGAGTGAATTATCCCTTATGCATGTATAATGGAAAAAAACAATGAACGAAGACAACTTTCTAATTTTTAAGTATACTAACAAGCCAATATAGGATAGCCAACTATTTTTGGCACAGTTTCAGAAACACGTACGTACATATAACAAAAGGGGAAAATGTTGAAATACAGAATGAGTCTTGTTCCTATTAATATTCATGAGCTGACAATTTGCATATAACATGACACAGTAAATGGATGTGGTGTGGCCCATGATCAAACTCATTTTCTTTGCTATGGTCCAACAAACCTGTCGCATGTAGGATGGAAAATAATGAGTGGACAATAGTTTCCTATTTCTGTCCAAAGTTATATACAGTTTTGGTTCTCTTGTATGATCTGGTTCATGATTGGTTGGAGAGGCATGGCAATCATCACATGATCCATGATGTCCGACTACAAAACCAATTAATTGCCAAAAGGCGCTACTTTCTTTTCAGGGTTATCCAGACTTTAGTGCATTCACACCATTTTTGCAATCTAATTGGAAAATGATATTAATGTGGCTGCACTCTTATTTTTTTAAAAAGAAAAATGCAGTGTTTTCTTTGTTTTAGTCTGCCTCAATACTGCCATAATATTGGGTAGCATAGTATTTACTTCCCAGCTTAATGTCCAATCACCCAAGCAAGCTGATGGCCAGTATTATGATAAAACAAATTTGTACAAGAATGTAGTTTTGGATGATTAACAGACCAATAAACCGGTGGTGCATCATGTTATTTTAGTCCCTGTTCAGACAAAGTCTGAAAACGGAGACTTGTGCGACTGTGTACAAGTCTCCACATGCATCTTGCACATGCCTAGACCAATTATATGCAAATGTGTTCATTTGACAATCAAGAGATTTAAAGTTAATCTACTAAAGCTGATAGTATTGGAGGCATATTGAAAGTTAATATTTGAGATAAACAACGCATGGTCGTCACAATGTACCATGATAAGTACTTATTATGCAAATCAGGTAATTAATATACACAGAATTTAATGTAAAACTAAACGTACAAATAAGGAACTCTATTCACTACAATATTGGAAGCACATCCCCGCTACACAAGCATTTATGTGTATTTATTTTGGCCATATCAGAATCAAAATGGACGACTGGTGGGCGTTTTGTATTAACATGTTCCAGGACCACAATCCTATTTCATTCACAAAAATTGCACAAATAAACTGGCTTCAGTTTGTAGCAGGCCTCATTTGACACATTTAATAGGTCATTGCTTTTTTCTGACATGACATAAAATCAACCCTTTTCTTTTGAATGACTGATGAGAGAGCACTTTGAAAAATTACCAACAGGGACTTATTTTCAATGACTATTAACAAAAATTACATTTAGCCACATGCAATTTCTCTTTCACTTCAGACATGGTTTTATGTAAACATCAGCATACTCACTACCTGTACATTAAATTAAGACTTTCCTATAGTTAAGTTACTTATTTTAAATTAATTTGCTGACAAATTTCTTACACAATTTTGGTATTTATGCTAACTTGCTGAGTAGGAAATTGATTTTTTTGCCAGTAGTGTGTATTTGAGATCATTTTCAGGTGATAAACACAATGAATAAGACATGAAGCCACATGAAGATGCACGATTCTTATTCAATGACAAGACTTAACACATGTTGATTATGAAAGTAGTATAATCTTCTAAGGTTGGCTTGCACATAATGTTACAGGTAAAAGTACTAGAAAACAAGGACTTTTAGTGTCCGTTTTGGTTTCTTGTAATTACTGTGTATCTCTACAACCTATTATCAACCTGGTCAACTTCTATTTCACATATCTCCCTAAATTTGGTAAGCATGTTAGGGTTTCAGGGATCTATCAGCCTTCATGTTCTCTACCAATTTAACAAACGAGTCTACATCTTAAGAAAAATTGTGAATTTATTTACACATTAAAGCAATTTGCAACAATAGAGCAAAACTTGTTTTGCGATTGATAAAATAACCAAGTAGTGAAAATACACAGTCCTTGTATATAGTTCTCATTTTAAAATGTATGAATGTCCATGATGTGTATTTACATAAAAATAGGTTGCATTCAGACCAGTCAAAGCTCTGGAAAATCTTTTACTTACATACCAAATTCATCTATGCAGGCATGCCAGGAATCTAATTCCATTGTGGTAGAAATGCACAGGTTTGGGAAATAATTTTTCGTATTGAATTAAACTGCAAAACAATGTAGACTATGTACAAATTGCGAAATACAAAATAATTGCATGATGTTGACACATTTGCTGTCCATAATAATTCAAAGTGCTTGTACATGTGTGTAGGTCATTATTTTATGAAACACAGTTTATTGTATATGCAACCAAAAATTTCAATTTAACTAGTTATCCAGAACAGTATATACAGCAGTATTTAGGAAAGCAGATAAACTGCAACTTCATGACATTTGTACAAGTTTCAATTCCTGGTAATGAACATATTTATCATTTAAATTATAAGTATAATGTACATCTAAACACAATTTTTTTATGTGTTGCGACTCTACTTCCTGTATTTGTCAGGCTTATCTCGTTCTTTCTGATATTCATTTTCTATCTTAGCTTCAATCTTTTCCCAGTTAACTTCCACCTGTAAATAAACCACACACTTCTGAGTGTTAAATCTATCAAGAGATCTTACTTCCGAGATGAGATGAAATTAAAATAGATTTATAGTAGATTTTCCAAATAGATTATTTGTATTAGCCCAACAATACTTGAGGTTACGTTAATGCATGTTGTATGCAAAACTCATGAATACAAACTTACCCCTTCAGCATATTGCAAGAATCTCTTGTTGGTTTCCTTCTTATCAAAGTCATCCAAAAATTTCTGTCTGTATGCTAACACTGTATCAACATGTGTTTTGTGTTTCACTGCTAACTCCAATGCCCTGTAAAACACAGTAATCAGACATGTATATCCTGATAATACCAACATAGTCAAGAATTGCTGTAAATTATTTATGTGTTCCACAGGAAAGACTTGTTGTTAAATGTAGACATACCTGTCCCAATTATAGAGCTCTATATTCATCATAATTGCTCTGAATATAAGTCCTCCTTGTAATAGAATACCTTCCGCATCTTGAGAGTTACCACAAAACAAGGCCATCTCAGCACTACGGGCCTCCTTAGATGGAATTTCTTTGATATGAATAATAAACTCAACTTTGTCTGCCTACAAAAAGGGTTATATAATTCCTGATTAAATATGCAATATGATTTCATATTCATGATAGCACTCTCTCTCAATCCCTAGGTAAAAAGTACCAGAATGTGAAGTCATTAGGAGTAGTGGATAATCTGGCTATTGGGTGGAAGTACAATCATCTTTAACTTGCATTCATGTAATATAATGCAGCTTGATATAAATAAAATAGTCATAGTAATACTTACCTCATCAATGGCTGCATATGCTATTTCAGCAGTATTCAATTCCTTGGCATAAGCAGCCATAGCTGCTAGACATCCCCACATAGCTGGGTCCTGTAAAACAAAACATAGTGTATGAAATTGCATATTTCAGATATATATGAACATTATAACTAAATAGAAATATTGTGTGAACCACAAAAAACAAACAAAAATACACAAAGCACAAAGTCAAATAGTAAATAAGCGAGAGCTACAAAATACATCTTTGAAAGATGCACACTGCCTCATAATCTACAGGAAGCACAAATACATACCTTGACAAATCTACAAAGTCTTACTGCGTCTTCCCATCTATTGCCATAGACCAATTCATGTAACATGGCAGGATAGGGAATAATTCCAGTACTGACTAAAGAACCATCAGCTCGACGTATAGTTAAATGATTACCAAGGAAACTAACCAAATTAGGATTCTTCCCAAATTCACTGTAATAAAACATTCATTTATTTTAACATGTCATATCACACTCGCATGAAAACTTTTATATGTAATATATTTGTTTAATGTAATTCACACAAGATATTCCATTGCCTGACTCAGCATGCAGACTCAAGATAATTGTTATAACTACGGTACATAACTCCTTTGTCATACCTGGTATCTTTTTCAAGTATTGTTTTAGACAGCAATTCTTTATCAACATAAACAGCATTAGGGTAGTACCAAACACTCAATTTACCATCCTGAAGGGCTGACAGTATATTAGTTGTATCATTCCAACTAAGACTGCTTATCATGGTACCTATCAAAACAAATTGCATTATACTTTTATAGCTACTGTACTAATAGAAATACCATATTTCTAAAGATGCAATAAATATTATTATGATTATATTACAATGATGACAGTGTGACTATGTGAAAATAGGATACTTGTTTAGTTTAATGCTTCAGGTTGGAATAAAGCACTTCTCGCAATCTTGTAATTATTCTGTTTGGCTCAACAAAATGCCCACATAACATAAGAAGTATTAGACTTTACCTAGTTTTATAATCTGTTGTGTTTTGCCAACAGTTCTCACTGACGTTAGATGAAGGTCTCTATTCTTATCCACTATGGATAGTCTTCGTTCTGATGCTGGTCCATACTGATCCAAACCAATCTCCATCACATCAAACTATAGTAACAATTTAAAACAGTTGAAATCATTGCTTTTGGTGATAATATGTAACAATGTTGACACGTTAATGAAAAGAAACAAATCTTACTTTGTGTGCAATAGGTTTGCCATCACCTAAAGCTTTACCAGTAGATGCATCAAAGACATGAACCAATTTTTCATCTACTTTATCTCGGATTGCGATGGTGTCATTGCTAAGTGCCAAAGAATGATAATTCAAAATATCTGTCCTCATGCC